CGAGGCAACTCGGGGGGAATTCGGACAGGTCGAAATTGGTGGATTCCGTTGAAACGTTTAGACGAGTCGGCCGTGCGCGAGCTCGCCTCGAGAGGAGAAAGGGCGATCGACCGACGAGCTATCCGCTCTGCTCCACCTCGCTTCGAGAACTCGGTTGTTTCGTGGGTGAATGAAACCATTTTCGAGGCGAGCCTAGGAACCTAATAATCCGGTACACCGGTTCGGTATACAGATTCTCGAGATTCTTTGCCGCAAATGTTGGATTCTTCGACCGGTCGGAACAATCCATCTCTCACCCGTAATTATCCCTAGAAGCCACCTTTTTTTCTCTCCCTCCTTTCACCCCCTAATTTCCATCCACCCAGCGTTCTCCATTAAACGGAGATTAAACGGGACGACCGTGATCCATCTGGGCGTATCTGGTAGGTTTCTAGTCGAAAAAAAAAAAGAAAAAAAAAAACAAAACGCGGGCTAACACCCTGAGACAAGGGCAGAAAGAAGAAGAAAAGGAGAGAAGCAGGGATGAAAGGTGGAAAAAGAGCAGAAGAGGGACGGAAAGAAGGATTTATACCGGTGTTCCGCTCGTTACGGCCCTGCATCTGTAACGAAGTAACGGATACGTATCCTTGGTCGAATAGGGTCCGGAACGCACGCAAACACCTATAAGAAGCCGGCACAACACGGATAGGCGCACGCACACGCGTCCCTCGATCGTTCCGATCTGGGCTGAGGCAGCTCATGGACAATTGCAATTATGGCCCTCCGTCGTCCCGGCTTGATTTATAAGTGGCAGAGAACGCTGTTCCCTTCTTTTCCAACGCGCACCCACGCGTAATCTCCATCCAACATTCTTTCTTTCCTCTTCTTTTCTTTTATTTTCACGAATCGTCGTCGTCGTCATCATCATCATCATCGTGCCGTCCTCGATTTCGTCCGTTTTTCTGCTCCACACGAGTTCGCGTATGCGTTGTATCTCGAGTATATATATGTATATACACACCATACATGCTCACCAGGTTATAGAGGGAACTAGGTTCGAGGCAGAATTCCGGGAACAGGAGGCTCGTACCTTATGGAAATAAGGCCTGTTCGTTAACGGGGATCCCTTTTTGGCCAACCTTTGGTGCAATCCTTGTATTTATATATATGGATGACTCGTGACCCAGCTTGTCGAGCAGCAATGGCGCGAAGGAGGGATTTCCTTCGCATCCTTCCACGCTGAATCCGTTCGTTCGATTACACGGGTGATTTCGAGTGGACTTTTTTTTCTTTTCTTTTCAATTTTTCTTACCTCTCAGATTGTACCATCTGGAAAGATGGGACGAAAAACTAAATTAAAATTACCTTGCCATTCCTCTGCTGCTATTTTTGCATTCGTAATATTAAAAGTTTTTGCATTAAGAAAGGGGAAGAGTCGTAAGAAGTTGGCGATGTTCCATCGTCGTGTGCAACGGGCAGGTTTTTAGGGCGCGTCGATGCCGAATGATCGAAGGGGAAGATCCCCTGTTCGATGAAAGGACGCGCGCGCCAGCATTCCTACGAATGCGGAACGAATGGCCCCGCAAATACGTGGATTTTAGCATCGTCCAGGACTCCTTTTGTCCCCGCCAGTCTCGATATTAAAAGCAATCGATTCGAACCAGAACCGTGCCTTCGCGCTTCTCACCCCCCTTTTCCCCGACCTTTTCTTCTCCTCCCCCTCCTCCTCTCCGATATTATTATTCCCTGGATCATCGATCCACTTTATTCTCTCGCATCCCGGCCAGAGAAATCTGTAGAGTAAACCGTCGATTTAATATCGGGAGAGGAAGTTTCGCCGCTCCTATCTCGAGTCGTGTGTTCCTCGTTACGCGCCATTTGCGACGCGGCTGTGCAAATTCGCTGCGAGGAGGAAAGTATTATAATTTTACGAATTTTACGACTCGTGAAACTCTCACGGTAGCGTGTAAACCGGCGAGCCGGTCCCCTGTAATCCCCTCTGTAACGCAAGAAGGGAAACCTCCTCCTCGAGATTCCAAGTTTCGAATCCCTGCCGAAATTTCGACTCGAAGCCCCGCCGCGTAACCATCTGTTACTTCGCGAACTTCTTCCTCGCAATTCGCGGCTGTAATTTCGCCCCGTCGAACAGCTTCGAGGAAGGAGAGGGAAGTCTTTGTACTTCGCGTCGATCGTTTAATCGGAGATGCTGGTGTTCGTTTCCCCTCAAGGCCAATGGTTCTCAACTCTCGAACAACTCTCGCGTTTGAATCGTGTTTTGAATCGTTTTAAAGATCGATGATCCCCTAAAGGAGATCGATTTTTTCCCCTAGAAAAAATCGTTACTATTTCGAAAGAATCTGTTTAAAAAAAAATCTATTTTTAAAGACCAAGTTTTCGTCATAATCGCATCCTCGAAGAAGTATTTTCTGGTGGATTGCTATTATTATTATGGAAAAAATCGTTACTATTTCGAAAGAATCTGTTTAAAAAAAATCTATTTTTAAAGACCAAGTTTGCGTCATAATCGCATCCTCGAAGAAATCGTGAAATATTTTCTGGTGGATTGCTATTATTATTATGGAAAAAATCTATTTTTAAAGACCAAGTTTGCGTCATAATCGCATCCTCGAAGAAGTATTTTCTGGGGGATTGCTATTATTATTACGGAAAAAATCGTTACTATTTCGAAAGAATCTGTTTAAAAAAAATCTATGTTTAAAGATCAAGTTTTCGATCGTCACAATCCTCGAAGAAATCGTGAAGTATTTTCTGGTGGATTGCTATTATTATTATGGAAAAAATCTATTTTTAAAGACCAAGTTTTCGTCATAATCGCATCCTCGAAGAAATCGTGAAATATTTTCTGGTGGATTGCTATTATTATTACGGAAAAAATGTACAGATGTCGTGAAACTATTCTTACTTATAATTTTCGATCGAATGCTAATCCATATCGTGCGCGCGAGTTACGATACGAAAAGGTCAATGTAGTGAAAGAATCGATTGTAGGAATTATTTCTCGCAATGGAATAAGTTCAGAGAATCCTGACGTCCGGTTCCATGGCATGGCCCATAATGGCGCACGCGAAAACGGCCGATTTACTTTTGCATCGCTTTAATATTAATGTTACGCCCCTGTCCGCTGGTATAATAACATCGTGGGGCCCGGGATATATACATATATATATATATATATATATAAGATCCAAGATTCCTTTTTTTCTTCTCCTTCTCTTTCTTCTTCTTCTTCGTTCCCGAACAAAACGCGCGTATGTTGGCTCGCGAATCGCGATGCAGGGGGATCGACGTAGGAAGTTTAGTTAACCGCTCTATCGAGCATAAATTATGCGCGCCATTAGAGTTGGTAAGCATGGTTCACGATCGAGTTTGCATCGAGTTGACCACCGACTTCGATATTATCGATAGATAACAAAAAACGATTTGCGCTCTACGGTCGGAGAGAACGATTTTTCTTATATAGATAATAATAATTTATTCTTAGAGTATACTCATTTAAACGTTATTTCCTGGTTCGGTAATCTTAATTTTATCCTTATTCGATTTAAAGCCGAAAAAAGAAAGAAAAAATCTCGATAAATCTGCTCGTGGAATAGCATTAGCATTAAATTAGAAATACACACCTTTTTAAATTCCTATTACATTTCCTCGGTTCTTCTCCTCGATCAGGTTGATTGAACAGCGTCGCAAAATCGCCTAGCAGATCCATTAACCGCAGCCTATAAATATGCATTTTATTCTTCTAGACGAATAACCACGCAAAGAATCGATCGTCATGCTACATCGATTCCCTCGATCTTTCTTCCTCTATTTACGCCACATTTTTTTGTATTTTTCTCTCTCTCTCTCTCTCTCTCTCTTCGTTAGACACGTTGATTTTCGTTATTACAATTAAACGCTGGGTATCGCTTCCTCGCCTTTCAGAAGATACCTTCGGGATCAGAATGAATATTTTCCCCGTTAAACAGTTAGATGTTCGACGTGGAACGTGATGCCCGGATCTTGTTTCATCATCACGTTCGTTAACCGCGCGCGCACCGTGGCAGAAAAGTCGATCGACACACAGACGACTATCAATTTCACGGTTATCGAGCTATATCGCTTTATCTCGTCCCCCGTCGATCGTTTTCTTACTCGGGTTTACCCTGTCCTTTCTTCCAAGCCAACTATAAATTCGTGGAACGATAAAAGTCTCGATAGTATCCGTGACTCCGCTTTTAATATAAGAATTCCTGTTTTCTTTCTGGTGGTGTTACTACACGACACAACGTACGAGGAAATATAGCGTAGCAATAGCGAGTTCTCTTTACGAGCGTGACGATCATCGATAGAACGTGGAAGTGCTTCCCTCTGTAATATCCTTGGAATCTTTCGTTTGCAGGATTGCTTCCAATTCCCGCGATTCACTTCGAATAAAAATCTCGATTAAAATTATCGCATTCAATTTAAAATCCAAGAATATTCCAAATCCAAGAATATTCCAAAATAACGGATATCAAGTTTTTAATAAATACACTGGTCGAAAGAAGTCTTACGCATTTTTCTTTCCACTATCCAACGTATTTAAACCTCGATACATTAGCATAGAACATAAAATCCAGAGAATTCTAATCGATATGATACAAAAATATTTTTATTTCTCGCAACGTGTGTAGGTTAATTATTTAATTAACAAGTTTAATTTATAAATGTAATTTCGTATTCGAATAGTTAAAATGATAATTGTATACGTATAAGGTATATATAATTCAAATTATAGCTCTTTTACTAGCATGCAGCGTGCCAAGATTGTCAACAAAGCGCGTGAAGTGGGGATAAATGGTCCTAGCGAAGGACTCGTCCTATACCGTCCCGCGAGACTTCTTTCCAATAGTAAACAAGAAAGATCAACTCGAACGAAATAATTGTTTCTTACAAAACTTCGCGTGCATGCATGGATTAATCCTTCCAAAATTTCTATCACTTTTTTTTTTTAACGTTATTTTCTCTTTCTCTTTTTTCAGGTTTCCGCGGAGATCATTGCGAGGAGAACATCGACGACTGTCCAGGGAATCTATGCCAGAACGGGGCGACCTGTATAGACAGGATAAACGAATACTCGTGTCTTTGTCCACCGTCGTACACGGGGACGCAGTGCGAGCTGGACGTGGACGAGTGCTCGGTTCGTCCATCGTTGTGCCACAACGGTGCCACGTGCACCAATTCACCCGGTAGTTACTCGTGCATATGCGTGAATGGATGGACAGGGCCCGACTGCAGCGTCAACATCGACGATTGCGCAGGTGCCGCCTGCTTCAATGGCGCTACCTGCATCGACCGTGTTGGCAGCTTTTATTGTCAATGCACCTACGGGAAAACCGGTGAGTCTAACGATTCGTTGACACGCGATTTCCTCGAATATTGTCGCCCGATCCCGAGAACGAAGCGATAGAGTTTGGAAATTTTATGAAGATCGGAGGAGCAAAAATTTAATTGGACGTTCAAGAAACTGGTTCGCGTTTACTTATCTTTTATTTGGAGCGTGGTAGCAGTTTAAGATGTTGCTTAAATTTTCTTTTTTCTATCGATTCTTATCGAAAAAATTGATTCTATATTCGTTTAATTCAAAATTAACAACAAATGGAAGTTACGTTGTATTTCTGTTCTAATCCCTATAAACTGTATAATCACTCTATTTGATATCGATTAAAAAAAGAAATCGATTTTCCTTTCAATCTCACCTATAAATAAAATCATCAAAAATTCCAACGATAAATCGAAACGAGGTCCATCGAATCCTCGAATCACTGGAACAGAATTCGTCCAGTGGCAAC